GGTCACACCTGTAATCCCACTGCTTTGGGAGGCCAAGGTAGGAGACCAGCCTGGGCAACATAGTGAGACACCCTCCCCCTGCTGAAACAACCCTCCTCCCCTACCACCCCTGCCCACAGAATACATTTTTTTTTAAAGTTAGTTTGTTGTGGCAGTGTGTCGCTTGAGCCTGAGAGCTGTGATAGTGCCACTGGACTCCAGCCTGGGTGACAAAGTGAGACTATCTCTAAAAATAAGTAAATAAAATAAGGTAATCAAAGGTTTTGTTTTAAAAATAGACACATACCATCACCAATGAATGGATACATAAAAGTGGAATATTATCCAGCCTTATGGAAAGAATGATACATGTTACAACATGGATGTGATAGTGGCAGGAGACAGGAAAATGCCCAGGCAGATGGGGCAGGTCCCTGGTGAAATCCCACCTCCAAATCAAAGACAGTTAAAGCCTGAAAGCCAAGCTAAAAGTCAAATCCATGAACCGGATTGAGAACCTGTCTTCCCATTTGGCATGCTTTCCTTTGATTGATCCCCACCTTTCACCTATTTTACATATACCTACCCTTTCCTAATTGGTTTTCTACACTGTCATGCCCACCTTTGAGCACTGCCTTTGTTTTGACATTTTTTGCAAACTCACAAACCAGTCAGCACACATTCCCTATTCTGAGCCCATAAAAGTCCCGGACCCAGCTACACTGAGAGAGAAATCACCTAACCATGGAGGTGGGGGACCACCCCCATGTCCCCTCCCTGCTGAGAGCTATTCCATCACTCAATAAAATTCTAATCCACCCTCCTCCCCTTCAAATTGTCAGTATATCTTTATTCTTCTTGGACATGGGACAAGAGTTCAGGAACTGCCAAACATGGGTATAAGCTATAATACAGGCGGGCTGAGTGGGCGGGGCACCTCCAGTGGCAGGCCCAGGCTGAGTGAGGCCTGGGCAGCAGCAGGGCATCTCTGGCCATGGAGGTCCCTGGTTGGCAAAGTGGCTGAGAAAAATCCTGCATCAGATGAACCCTGATAACTTTATGCTAACTGAAAGAAGCCAGACACAAAAGGCTGCGTGGTACATGATTCCACTTATATGAACTATCCCAAATAGGCAAATCCATGGAGACAGAATTAGATGAGTGGGTGCCAGGGGCTGGGTGCACTGACTGCTTAATGCATATGGGGTTTCCTTTCAGGTGATGACAATATTCTGTACGTAGATAGTCGTAGTGATTGTACAACATTGTGAATGTACTGAATCCCACTGAATTATACACTTTGAAATGGCAAGAATGATAAATATTATGGGTATTTTACCTCAGTTTAAAACCGTGAACTGGAAAATAGAAAATGATAGTTGTACTTCTTAGCTGCTTTTTATTTATTTATTTATTTTTGAGACGGAGTCTCGCTCTGTCGCCCAGGCTGGAGTGCACTGGCCGAATCTCAGCTCACTGCAAGCTCCGCCTCCCGGGTTTACACCATTCTCCTGCCTCAGCCTCCTGAGTAGCTGGGACCACAGGCGCCCGCCACCTCGCCCGGCTAGTTTTTTGTATTTTTTAGTAGAGACGGGTTTCACCATGATAGCCAGGATGGTCTCGATCTCCTAACCTCGTGATCCGCCCGTCTCGGCCTCCCAAAGTGCTGGGATTACAGGCTTGAGCCACCGCGCCCGGCCATTAGTTGCTTTTTAAACAAAATACATAAGCATAACTCTGTCATGCTTAATACAATGCAGAGATCTAATGTACAACATAAGGACTATAGCTAATAATACTGTATTGTATTTGGGATTTTTGCTAAAAGAGTAAATTTTAGGTGTTCTTGCCATAACTATGTGAGATGTTAATATGTTAATTGCCTAGTCATTTTACTTTGTATATGCATATCAAAACATCATGTACACCTTAAATATATACAATTAAAACTAAATTAAATTTAAAAAATAAGGAGTTTGTAAACCTTACATTCATTGTACAGGAACAAAAAGGGTGAAACAAACATATTACATAAGAATTGCAAGCCATTCTACAGGAAAAAAAGGTTGAAGCAAATGTGTTTAAGAAATAGAATTATGATGTACACAGATATAAAACATAGATGCATAATACTGAAAATGCTAACATGTTACCTCCTGATAAAAAGAGAGGGTGAAATGTGGCCACTATTGCCCAATTTGGCTGCAGTTGGACCAGAAATGTCTCTGGGCTGCTGGTGCTGGCTGTTACCCAGGGGGCAGGGCACGCCTGGCGTGTGAGGTCTGTGGCTATGTTTGAGGAATCTTTTGCTGCTTTCTTTAGGGCATAAAAGCAACTGGCACATTCATGGCAGCTCATGGAGCCATTCCCTTCAGGCAGCTGCTCCCCTTTCACAGCCATGTGTGACCCACATAGCAGCCTTGGCATTCATCTGGACAGTGGTGTGGAAAATGATTTCATCCTACTGTCTTGCCTGGCCTTTAACAGTTGGAGTGCTTCCACCCTAGACTTAAGAATACATATACCCAACTTTTAGAAAATGAATGCTAGGAGAAGTTCCCAGATGGCTTTCAAGGCACTGGTGCTGCCAGATGTGGCTTTTTTGATGAAAGTTCTGCTCCCAGCCTAGTTCCTGCATCACTGCCCAGTGCGACCTGTGTCTATTCCTGCCCCTCACACCTCTGCTCCTCCCATCTCCCACTTGCTTCTCTTCCTGCACATTGAAATGCTTCCCGTACTGCCAAGCCCAACTCAAGGCCTACTGTACTTAGAATTTCTACCACACCATTTTTGCATTTTATTGTTTTTGTGCCTGGGAATTTTACCTCTTCCAACCAACTGGCGAGTTTTTTGGTGGTCAGAGCTTTTTCCTTGCAATTTTGGGGTGTCCCACAGTGGTATATAGCCTTTACTGCCTTCCTGACACCCTCTATTGTAATTGCACCCTGATTTTCCTTTGCTGGGTCTTCCTGTCACCACGATTGGCTCAGAGCCAGACATGAGACTTAAGTCCCACCAAATGAGAATCATTGGTCCTGGGCTTTCACTGCAGCTCCTGGTAAGAGATGCCCTTTCTCTAGGAGTTGCTAAACTAATAGGAGCAGCTGGGGACCATCGTTGCCAATTTTTGTGATGCTTGTCTGAGAAGAAAGCCACACAGTGTGGAGACCGAGCAAAGTCCTGATAGCATGGTTTGAGGCTCTCAGGCATGAGAGCCACAACTTCCCGTCTTGTTGGTGGCTGGTTGCTTCCAATTGAAGGACTACCAGTATACCTCCCGGCATTTGCAATCTGCACAGAATAGGCAAAGAATATTTACTGACTGATTGTTTGCAGGTATATCTAGAGTGGTAAAGTGAAATATTTATATTTTGCATTTACTGGAAGTTTTTACAGGCACAATGGCTCATGCCTGTAATCCCAGCACTTTGGGAGGCCAAGGCGGACGGATCCTCTGAGGTCGGGAGTTTGAGACCAGCCTGACCAACATGGAGAAACCCCCTCTCTACTAAAAATACAAAATTAGCTGGGCTTGGTGGCGGGTGCCTATAATCCCAGCTACTCGGGACTGAGGCAGGAGAATCTCTTGAACTCGGGAGGCGGAGGTTGTGGTGAGCTGAGATCACGCGTTGCACTCCAGTAGGGGCAACAAGAGTGAAACTCCATCTCAAAAAAAAGTTTTTAGGCCAGGTGCGGTGGCTCACGCCTGTAATCCCAGCACTTTGGGAGGCCAAAGCGGGCGGATCATGAGGTCAGGAGATCAAGACCAACCAGCTGACATGGTGAAACTCCGTCTCTACTAAAAATACAAAAAATTAGCCAGGCATGGTGGCGGGTGCCTATAGTCCCAGCTACTCGGGAGGCTGAGGCAGGAGAATGGCGTGAGCTTGCAGTGAGCTGAGATCATGGCACTGCACTCCAGCCTGGGTGACAGAGCGAGACTCCGTCTCAAAAAAAAAAAAAAGTTTTTGTTGTGGTAAAATCTATATGCCTTATCATTTTAACCATTTTTAAGTGTACAACTCAGTGGCATCAAGTATATTCACTGTGCACCATCACCAGTGCCCATTTCCAGGACTTTTTCATCACCCCAAACTGAAACTGCGTACCCATTACACACCATTGCCCATTCCCTCCTCAAACCTTGTAACCACCGTTTTACTTTCTCTCTTTGAATATGACTACTCTTGATACATAAACAAGATACATGGAACCATACAATAATTGCCATTTTGTGATTGGCTTATTTCACTTAGAATAATGTCCTCAAGGTTCATCCATGTTGTAATATGTCAGAATTTACTTTTTTTTAGGACTGAATAGTATCCCTTTATATGCATATACCACATTTTGTTGATCCATCCATCCGTCAGTGGACAACTGAAGTGTTCCACCTTTTGGCTATTAGGAATAATGCTGCTCTATTGGTTTTTATTTTTTGAAAATATTTCAGTTTAAGGATGAAGCTGTGGTAATGCCAGGATAGCCTATTACATTAGCTCATCTAGATAAGAAGAAAACTTGGGTTAATGAAGTGTTCAGTGAAATATTAAAGCCAGAAGCTTCAGCCTGAAATCATTCTTTTTGGGCTCTTCAGTAGCATCACTTCTTTGTAGGCTTCTACTCCACCAAACACTGAGAGGCGGGCGACATCTCAGGATCAGAGGTGGAAAGGCCTCTCCTGGCGTTACTGGCCACTCCCTCTCTCCTAACGAGCAGAGCCGGGAGAGAGGCCGGGCACACTCGGACTTGTAGGTAACCGGTTCCCTCACATCCCTGCCCACACCACAGTTTTGGCTTTTCAACAATAAAGCCGTCTCTCCATCCTAGGACTCTCTTACAGAGAACAGTAAAACTGCAACATGATCAGGTACCCAAAGCGTGCATTCCCCGCAAGATAGATCAGCAGCTGCTGTCTCTTTCCATGATCTCTCTCCCTCATTCCTGTAGCCATGGAAAACTTTCCATCGGAGTCCTTAGGAAGAGATGGAGGGTGTGTGAAATGAGAGCCCGAGACACGCTGCCATCTCGGAAGGGCTTTATTTCTACTACATCACGGTCTCATACAGACTCAGAGGCACCAGCACGTGTTTCCATTTGGTATCCTCGTGCCTTTTCGTCGTGTTTTCCCTTAAGAAAACTTGGAGTAAACTCTGTACACTGCCAGTTAATCTTTTCACAATAATTTAAAAATGTTGCTGTTGGATCATCGATGCAAGAAGACCAACAATAAAAGTACAGTACAAGGAAATTCACAACGTATTACAGTGGAACAGACTGAGTCACATTTAGGTGATGGCGAGGACACAGTAGCGGTATATACATGCACCCGAAGACGTGCAAGCCAAGTAGGATAATACAAGGATCATACAGTGAAGTTTCTAAGCCCACTGAGGGCTTTGTACCTTTTCAAAAACGTCCTGTATCCCCTCCAGTATACAGAATATCTGTCTTGTCTACTGGTCCTGTGTCCCCTCCAGTATACAGAATATCTGTCTTGTCTACTGGTCCTGTATCCCCTCCAGTATACAGAATATCTGTCTTGTCTACTGGCTTCATGGCTTTTTCGCTACAAAAAGTTCACTGAATCAGACAGTCTGAAGCATTAAAAAAGTCTTAAAAAACAGTAACACTGACAAAATAAAATGAACTTAATCCACTCTAATTCAACATGGAAATAAACTGAACCAAAATGTAACAGGGCAAATTTAACAGAGAGGCAGTCAGGTATTGACAGCAAGGGTGTTCAGAATCTCTTAAAATGTACATTTTTTAAAACTTTTATTTTTTAAATCTATTTATACCTTATTTACCTTTTCATTTAATATACTGTGTGTAAAAAAGATGGAGACAAAAATAGTTTTCTGAGCTATGAAAAAAATTAAGTTATTACAGGCACATTTACTGTTTCATTCTAGAAACATCTCAGTTTCACAGGTTGAACATTCAGCAGCTGTGTGTTTTTAAAAAACATTCTTTGACCTTGAGAAAACTAGATCTCTCCTTCTGGGCAGAGTTTTGTTCATGGCGATGGTGTGGTTATGCAAATTACAGTGAATTATACTGTGATAATCCATGCAAGCTTGCATCACGGTGTGGCTGCTCCTCGGGCGGCTCCTCGCCACCATGCTCCTCCAAGGACGTCGGGTCTCCGGGTGACTGAGGCTGTGAGGCAGTGGGGGAATGTGGGGCCCACCGGGACGGAGGGCGACGGTTTGCTGGTCTCTCGGGCCTGGAGAAGCAGGGCTCTAGGGATGGAGCTAGTGCAGAACAAGGTAGTTCCTTCAGAGCCGAGAAAGGGAGACAGGGTTACTCAGACCGGCAGTGTCACCAGCGGATGATTCCCCCAAACACACTTCTCAACAGACTCAAGTGAGATGAAGTACACACCACAGGCAACTCGTGAATATTAACGACGTTCTATGCTCATGCAGAATAACTTAAAATAATAAAGAATTCAACACATGTGACATGATCAGTGACATGAATGGGAAGAGACCAATTATGATTAAACACAGCAATATTGTGAGATGAGTCAGCTTGCAAAGCTCCTTTAGAATTGGGCTGGGGTATACAGAAGACATGGCAGAGTGACTGTGGCAGCGGTCTCCACAGGCCACTTCAGCATATTCCCATCTGGTAGATCTCTTCATTTGGTCCTTTAGAATGATCTATTTAGCGACAGTGGACAAATGAACTGGTCCTATAGGGCCTGGATCTACTGGGAGCCCACAAAGAGACCTCTGATTTCATTCAGCTGTGTTAGCAACGGCAGTCGTCTTAAACGAACTCTGCTACTGTTTATTTGAAATTGACTGGCAGTAGATTAAACAAACTCCCACAACATGGCAAAGATGCTGCAGGCAGAAATTTTAATTTGGGTCTAGTTTTCTTTAATGACTCTTCAATTACAGCAGCATTTTAAAAAAGTAGAATCAGAATGTACTGGTAGTTTTGTTTCAGGCATCCTAATGTTCTGAGAACAGGTGACGCAAGACACATTCAACCATGTGCAAATCACCTAGAATCCTTATTCTCAAGCTACTTTGTTTTTAAAGAATGTTGAGTTCCTTGTCCTTACTCTACATGTTACAAAACCAGGACACCCAAACTTGGAATTTGCTGATACACAGAAATGTAAAAAGCTGTGGCATGAGGAAACTGAGCTGCCCAGCATGAAGCCCGCTGGCTGGAATGACAAGACACTGGACGCTGAGGTGAACTGAATGGAAGGCACAGGAAGGATGACAGAGAACAAGGACGCTCAAAGGAAGGAAGTGAGTTGGTGGATGTAAAAAGATGTGACAAGCAACTAAAAAGACCAGGATGAGGACAGCCCAGCCAGTGGTGCAGGGGAGCAGCAGTGGGGGGACAGATGGCTGCACGGAATGGGCAGTGTCACTCGGGAGAAGATGGAACGTGGCAGAGACAGCATGGCCCAAGGAGAGCGTGGGAGCCACAGGCTTCCAGAAGAGCAATGGGGCGAGTGGTTTCCCTGTCTCCCTCTGGGGTCAGCAGACAAGGAACAGTGGCCCTGGAGACTATGCTTCATGCTCCTTGCTGCTTTTGTGGCTGGTACTTCACACGGCCACAGGGAGAAGGTTCTGTTCCCAAAGCATTATGCTAACAGTACCGTGACAACCAGAAACACCTCTCCATTTAAAACTCCACCAGCCACCAAGATGCAGACTAACTCAAGGTGCTCCTGTGTCATCTCACCACAGCCCACAGTGCTTGGCTGGGACACACGGTTTGGGAAATCTGTATCTGTTTTGTGTCTGTGCTCCCCTTGTTGTAAGAGTAGTGTGTGTGTTGTGTATTTGTTCTGTGTGTGTTGTGTGTCGGTGAAGCTGCTGCCATAGGTTTATCTGACACCACTGTATCCCGTTCCTCCTGGCTGGTGCTGAAGAGCAGGCTTTGCATGAGACCATTCAGTACCCCCTTTGCCAGCCTCTGCTTGTGAAGGAAGAAACGTTGTGAGTCTGCATTCAAGGGAATGAACCTTTTCCTTAGTAACACGCCAGCGTGTACAAGCAAATGATGCTGTGCTTTCCTGAGAAGCCACTGTGGTCGCTGCATGGCATCTTGTCCTGGGATGCCGCCCCTGTAGCACGTTTCTGGGAAATGGCCCTCCCCCTGTGTTCCTTGTCATTTTTTTCACGGGGACACGTCTGTTGTATTTGACAACAGATACTTTTGTACTTAACACTTCGCGTTAAGGCCAGTGGATGAGGTGAGTGGATGACTATATCCTTGATCAAACACAAAGTATATCTTTTCTCATGTGCTTTGACTCAGACTCTGAAAGCAATTCTGAGAGACGTTCTCAAGATATCTGGAGTGGGGATGACTTTGTTCTTTATTCATTCAACAAATATCTATTGAGCATCTACTCTGTCACCTACGGTGCTCACTTGGAAGGACAAGATATATTTGGGTTCATTCCTTGTGGTATGATTGTTGAAAAATGAAAAAAAAAGCCTTATCGCATTAGGGTCCCACCTCATTTCAGCACATGCCAGTGCACATATGTAAGCAAAATGTTGGTAACCAGTCCTGGGTGGCTGGGCCCAAAGACCCCCTCAGGCAAGACCCCTGTGCCTAGGATGTCCCCTCCTGGCCAGTATCTACTCAATTCTCTGAAAGCAAATTGGCTGCAAATGTACAAAAGCAGAGAAATCTCAGCAGAATCTCTATAACCTAAAAACCCTTCTTTGCACTGAGTGGTCAACCCTCTCGCAGGGCAGATGAGTCTCTGGCCCTGTCAATCTGTTGCTGGGTTTAGGGGAGCCTCCTGGAACCTGGGGTGAGCGAGGGTGCCGCCACCGGGCAGAACTCCCTCAGGCGATGAGTGTCGGGTGCCCACTGCGAGTTACACAACACGAGCTCTCCAGACAGCGGGGAAACAAGGAAGAAAGCACTTACAGCGTGAGGCAGGCAGGGCTAGAGTCCCCAGGGGGCAGTTAGTAAGACAGTTTGGTTCTGGACAGAACAGACAGAGAGAGAAGAGAAAAGCAAGAAGGTTGGAAAGTGTTTTTTAAACAGGAGAACAATAAAGGTTTCAAGTCAGCAAGCCCGGAGGTAGAGGGCCGTCCCTCTCACTCAGGGACAGCCACCAGGAGAGACTTGCGGGCTCTCAGATCTAGCGCATTCACCAAGGCAGGTGTGGGGAAGCGGCCGGGCGCTGGGCAGACAGGCCTGCCCTCTGCCATCTGCCCAGAGAGATGGAAACTCCAGGGAGAAGCCACAGACCTCCCTCTAGTTTCTATGCCGAGCCACCCTTTAGCATTTAACATTTCCAACAGCATTCTGGCAAACGGAGGTATGGAAATTGCATGACTGTTATCTAAAACAGAGACCTTTATTTGGCTGCGTTTGTTTTGGTCACAACCACCAAGCTACTGCCACTTACTCTAAAAAGCTCCCCTCATATTTTCCACTTAGGGGAGGGAGGAATAGCACTCCATTTTCAGATTGTTCCTTCTCTTCACACTAGAACTCCTCCTCACGGCTTCTCTCTGCACTGCTGAACTAGTGCCATGGTGTCGCGAGAAAAAGAGGCCTGAGTGGTTTCCGGGAGAAGAGTGCAGTGAGAAAGGGAGATTGCCTGTCACCTGCGTCACTCCTGGGTCTGGATGCCTGAGTGAACATTCAGGGAGAGATTCCGCAGCAGGGCACGGGGTGGGCTTGGAATCAGAAGCAGTCCTGGGGATTTGGGAATGCATACCTAGAACTACTGCATAATTTATGGAGCAATGGGAAGGGGTTGCAGTGGCCCTAATATATTACATCAATTCAGGAATAATCCCACTGGAATCCAGAACAAGCAAAATTCCAACAGAAATGGAAAAAAGAGCCCGTGGCATGGAGATGCTGCCGATGAGTGCTCCGTGCCCGCTCTGAGTCCCTGCAACTGCGCTCCCTTCACGTCATCTCTTTTGGTGGCAAACACACCAAGTGAAGAGAAAATCTAAACGAATACGGAGGACAAAAGGGGTTGGGCCACTTTGTACTGATAAAACCATTTTCATGCCATGATGCTGGGATCCCATCATGAACCTATTTTTGCTTGCAGGATTCACTATTAGTAATTCAAAGCATTTTTTGGTTCCTAAAAAACAATTTCTATTTGGTGTGTAATATAAATAGACAACACAGGCACAGGCGATTAATGCTTTGTGACATAGCCTCACTGTCAACTGAAATTAGAGCCCTCGGGAGCCCTAGAGAGATGGAAACTCCAGGGAGGAGCCACAGACCTCCCTCTAGTTTCTATGCCGAGCCACCCTTTAGCATTTAACATTTCCAACAGCATTCTGGCAAACGGAGGTATGGAAATTGCATGACTGTTATCTAAAACAGAGACCTTTATTCGGCTGCGTTTGTTTTGGTCACAACCACCAAGCTACTGCCACTTACTCTAAAAAGCTCCCCTCATATTTTCCACTTAGGGGAGGGAGGAATAGCATTCCATTTTCAGATTGTTCCTTCTCTTCACACTAGAACTCCTCCTCACGGCTTCTCTCTGCACTGCTGAACTAGTGCCATGGTGTCGCGAGAAAAAGAGGCCTGAGTGGTTTCCGGGAGAAGAGTGCAGTGAGAAAGGGAGATTGCCTGTCACCTGCGTCACTCCTGGGTCTGGATGCCTGAGTGAACATTCAGGGAGAGATTCCGCAGCAGGGCACGGGGTGGGCTTGGAATCAGAAGCAGTCCTGGGGATTTGGGAATGCATACCTAGAACTACTGCATAATTTATGGAGCAATGGGAAGGGGTTGCAGTGGCCCTAATATATTACATCAATTCAGGAATAATCCCACTGGAATCCAGAACAAGCAAAATTCCAACAGAAATGGAAAAAAGAGCCCGTGGCATGGAGATGCTGCCGATGAGTGCTCCGTGCCCGCTCTGAGTCCCTGCAACTGCGCTCCCTTCACGTCATCTCTTTTGGTGGCAAACACACCAAGTGAAGAGAAAATCTAAACGAATACGGAGGACAAAAGGGGTTGGGCCACTTTGTACTGATAAAACCATTTTCATGCCATGATGCTGGGATCCCATCATGAACCTATTTTTGCTTGCAGGATTCACTATTAGTAATTCAAAGCATTTTTTGGTTCCTAAAAAACAATTTCTATTTGGTGTGTAATATAAATAGACAACACAGGCACAGGCGATTAATGCTTTGTGACATAGCCTCACTGTCAACTGAAATTGGAGCCCTCGGGAGCCCTAAGAAGGCAGGGCATTCCCATATAAACAGACCCTTCCACGGCAGCAGTACTTACCTGAGGACCCCAGAAGGATGGGGTGACAGTAGCCCAAAGGAGACACCATTTGTCACCTGAGAACATTCAACCAGCAGTTTGTCCTCAGAGCACGCAAACAACTTTATCACAAAGACTCAGATCTTGGAACATGTAGGCCATGTAGCATCAATATTTATATTAGGTGTGAACCATGCGGAATTGCTATTTCTGTAAGTCACTGGCAGTTCCACAGGTTTGACCTATTCAGATTTCCAGCCTGCATTCTGAGTTAAACATTCACTGGTGGGCCGGACTGGGAAGCCAGCCATCATTTACCCTCTTGTGGGAAACATGGGCCAGGTGAAACAGGCAATACACCACCTTCCTCTCCCTGCCCATGAAGCCAGGGCTGCTCGGGTCCTGGCGAGAAAGCAGCGGGCAGCCCAGGAGCATGCTGCCGTCCTCCTCCTCTGACCCCTACCATCTGCGGGAGCAGCCTGGCTGGGAGAGTGCCCATGGGGCCAGGGGTTCCCAGCGTGGAGCCTGTTCATCCAGACTCCAGGCGAGTTGGACTCACTCCCCAGACAGACGCGTCCTCTCTGTGCTGCACAAACCACAAAGTGGCATCCCCACAGCCGTCACCACCAGCATACCAGCAGGCTTTCATTTTGCTCCCTGTTTGTACAAAAGCACTACATGTGGATACGCATCAGAACCCAGTTCACAGTGGATTGATTTGTGAGTAGTATCAAGGGCAATAATGATAATCATATTGTATTAGGGCAGGATTTTGATTTTGCCTATTTGTTTCACTTGGTTTTACTGCTAGGGGGGCTCATGGCCACAAAGAGGGTAAGTGATTTGTGAGCTGCCAGATGGCTGTTTTGTAAGGAAGCCAGCCCAGGAATCGAGATCTTATGGCTCCTGATGAGCTGTGCTCGTGCCCACGCTGTCCAGACCCTCTGCAGCTCACCTCATGCTGTCCCACATGAAGGTCTGCAGTATGCAGAAAGCCTGACACAAGCATCCCATAGTTTGTACACGTGCACAATGCACAGAAAGAGGCAAGCTAGACCCCAAATGAAACGCCCTGATAAGTAAGGATCAATCACTTAGACTGGTGACAGACACACATCAAATCATGTATCATATGATTTCCTGAGGACAATAAAAGGAACATTTTCTTTAGAAAGTTCCTCAGGGTTCTTTCTGCTATTCTATTTCCCATAACCCAACACCCTCCCCAGCTCCCGACAACCGATCACGGATGATTCCTGAGATCAATTGACAAGCCACAAACCAAATTCCCACTGCCCCACAGCTAAAGGGAAGAGCTGGCGGGGGAGGGTGTGGGGCACTCGGCGTTCATTACCTCCATGGGCCCTGGCTCGGCTGTGTCCCCCAGCGAGTGGCTGTCACTGTGGAGACCTGGGGGCCCGTAGGCAGCCTGCCTCCTCTCCTCCTTTAAGGCATGCTCCAGCAGCTTCTTGTTGAGGATCCGGGCCACGTTCTCAGTGAGTGTGTAGCCAGGGGGAGCAGATAAGTCCTGCCTCACTGGCGTGCCCTCTCCCCCTTCCTCCCTGCACATCTCTGAGCCCACCCCAATGGGGCTAGGTGACCTTCCTCGGGAATTGGTGCCTGTTTCCTGGCCTGGGGCCAGCTCCGGTGGGGGTTCTGCTGAGCGAGACCGACTGCCGGCCCGCAGCCCCTTCTGGAAGGGGTCCTGCACCACGGGGCTGTGGTCGATGATGTTGAAGAGGCTGGAGAGGCCATCATTGATGGTGGTGTGCACGGGGCTCTCCCTTGTGGTGGTGGAGCGGGCCCAGGCTGACTCACTGTACCCTTTCTGGGCCATCCCTGGCGACGTCCTGTTATTTGGCTGGTCAGCTTTGGGGAGGGGCTTCCTCTGCAGCTTGGGAGAACCATACTTGGGGGAGCAGCATGTGCGTTCAAACTTGGCCTGCACCTTCTCGATGGCAGGGGCCACCTGTCTGCTCCTAAGGCTTCGGGAAGGAGACGACACGGGTGTAGCACCGCCCCCAGCCTTCGGCGTGAGACACTTGTGGGGGCTGCTGGTGACACCGCTGCCACGCAGGGCGTCAGTCTGCAAGCCCACACTGATGGTCTGAACAGTCTGGGTCCCCATCGTCCGGGACCCATTGGTCTGGCAGGCCATGTCCTTGACTTGTGGCTCACCAGGCCCAGAGCAGATGGCATTCCTGACAGAGAAGGCCACCTCCTTCATGTCATCACTCAAGTTCTTGGACATCTCCAGGCTGTGCAGTGGGGAGGCAAACCCCAGGGAGGTACAGAGAGGGTTATCGAGGGGGCGCCGTGCCCCCTCCACGTAGTCCCGGGAGTGCCTGGGGGAGGTGCAAGGCCACCTGCTGAGCATGGGTTCTGGAGGGCCCCCCTTGGTGTCTCCCAGGCTCCCTCTGGCTCTGCTTGTGGGAAAGGGACTCTCGCCACCCGCCACCGTGATGCTGTCGACCCTGCGCACGGCAGGCGGGCTGTGTAACACGCGCACCCCCGACTGCTCGGTGAGGACGTGGCTCCGCAGCGGCTGCTTCTGGCAGTGCTCTGGGCTGGTCATGGTGTCCGTGGTCATGGTGACACTTGTGGTCAGGTACCAGGAGGAGTCGGGGAAAGGCTCTGTGCTGTCCTCGTGCCCTGCCCGCCCCACCTCGGTCCTGTCGGCCCAGAGGTCTGGCGCCCCACCATTGTGGCCCCTGGTGGGTGTGTAGTCCCAGCTCTTGTTGAACTCCTCAATGTACTTGAGGTCGTCTGGAGACAGGGGTGGGGTGATGTCCTCCTTGCTGCTGGTGGACGGCAGGCCCTTCTCAGGCAGGAACGGGGAGATGTCCATGAGGCGCTGGAACTCAGACATGGAGGACACGGACACTGCCCTGGGAAAAGCGGAAAAGAGGGTGTCAGCCCCCACCACACCACAGCGCCCACGTCCTGCCCCGCGTGGGAAGTGTCAGGGAAGGCGCCTGCTTCCACCCACACCAGGAGAACGCTTTCAGCTGCTCATGTGCTGCACTCACGGGCTTATCCTGCGGGCAGCTATTGGACTCTGTGTGGCTCTGGAATTGTTCCTGAAGCCCTGCATTGGTCGGAATTTAATACAACCAACTCTGGCTCACCCCTGTAATCCCAACGCTTTGGGAGGCCAAGACAGGAGAATCACTTGAGGCCTCAGTGCCTCAGTGAGAATTCTCAGGAGACTTGCTCGGACCACAATTGAAGGGTGAAGACGGTGAGTCATGGCGATGGCCAGGTTTTGGCAAGCTGCCACCTGACAGACACAGATTTGGTGTGGATTCTTCCATGTGTCAGCACTTTCAATCTGCCATGAGTTCGCTGAGTGCCTCTCACACGCCCGGCAGGTGCTGCAGGGGTGCCAGCAACGCTTCCAGGCTAAGACAGAAAGTGGCCGGAGTGCTTGGGCACAACTACCACGAGGGCAAAGAAGTGGTGGTCAGGAACGGGGCTGGGGCTGGCTGTGCCCGGTGTCTCAGGCAACAGAACCTCTTTGGCCTGGAATCCCTCCAGCTGGGGTGGGATGGGGAGGTGAGGTGTCTGCAGACTCACTGTCCAGATTCTGATAGGACATACTGATATTCCTTTCACCCCACAAAGCACAGGCTTAAACCTAGGGATCTAGACTAGTGCAGGCCCTGTGGAAGGGGTCCCAGATTGAGTGTATGGACCACTCCTCCACAGGACCTATTAATATGATGAGGCCAGAACTGGGGTCTGCTCTGAGCAAGTCCCCATACCGTGTGCACTGGTACACAGAACCAGCAAAGCTCTGGGCAGCTTTGCTGACAGCTGGCTTCACCGTGGGGGCAAGGCACCCACCCATGTGGTCAGCCCCATGGGGTAAAACAGCAGGCTAAAAGTGACGTCGTTAGGCATTCCATCTTGTTATCTTTTTGTTGTTGTTAGAAATAATCTACCAACTGTCCAGTGGTGCTGGCTAGATCCAGGGCCGGAAAGGAAGGGCAATGGTAGGGATGGGTTGATTTGTCCAAAGGTCATGAGCTTTCCAGCAAGTATGAATTTCCTTCTTCTCAATTCAAGGAGTTGCTGAATTAATAACGAGTTTCAGAACACTGTTCGCTGGGGACTGTGAGTGCCGAACACATGCCGACACCCTGGTCCTTTCCACGTTTCTGTGGACATAGCTCATCGAACTCCCACTTCTGCCCACAGAGGAACTGTCTCAGAGTTAAATCAGTGGCACCTACCTGGGTGGGAACTCAGTGCCTCTGGGGCATGGATGGATATGGTGGAACAGAGATGATAAAAAGACAGAGAGAGCAGAGGCATTAACCCCAGCAGTGGCCAAAGCAAACAAAGCCCATTAACCTCAGCAGTAGCCAAAGCAAACAAAACCGTGATGAGAAAATGCAGGACACGTCTGGAGGACATGTAGGCGCTTCCGGGTGCATCGAAGAGAGTGGTGCAAACATACCAGGCAGCTGGAAGCCAGAGGAAAAGGGGCCGGTGGGGAGGGCACATCCAGTTTCACTTGGACATTTCCGAGATATAATAATATATAATATACTATTTTTTTTTTTTTTTTTTTGAGACGAGTCTCACTCTGTCGCCCAGGCTGGAGTGCAGTGGCGCAATCCGGTTCACTGCAACCTCTTACCTCCCAGGTTCAAGCAATTTTCCTGCTCAGCCAATATTTCCATTTTATAACAAGCATGTGTTACTTTTGAAAGCATAAAGGCTGATGGCTTGAGTGGTGGAGTACAGTTGCTCCAAAGCCTACCCAGAAACACTGATGTGGCTGCTTCTGTGAATGGGGAAGGTGGGAGGGTGTAATGACTAAACTCTGTTTACTGCTTGTTTTGTGCCATGGGCTGCTTTCATTATGTGTATTAACATACATAAGCTGCAAAAAAAAAAAAAAAAAAAAGATAATCAAAATACCTCCTGTATACAGATGAGGAAACGGAGGCACAAAGCAGTTGAGTAACCTACGCAAGGAGGCAGAAGTGATTTAAACCCAGGCAGTTTGGGCTGGGCGCAATGGCTCACGCCTGTAATCCCAGCACTCTGGAAGGCTGAGGCAGGTGGATCACTTGAGGTCAGGATTCGAGACCAGCCAGGCCAACATGGCGAAACTCTGTCTCTATTAAAATATAAACATTAGCCCGTTGTGGTGGGGTTTGCCTGTAATCCCAGCTACTTGGGAGGCTGATACAGAATTGCTTGAACCCAGGGGGCAGAGGTTGCAGTGAGCCAAGATTGTGCCACTGTACTCCAGCCTGGGAGAAAGAGTGAGACTCCATTTCAAAAATAAATAAATAAATCAACCAACCAATCAACCCAGGCAGTTTGGCTCTAGAGCCTGAGCTCTCAAGTACTGTCCTGTCAGAGAAGACAGTGTGAAGGACTGAAGTGTGCCACAGGCACGGCTAGGTGCTGCGGAGAGCAAATGGGAAAGGGATGGTCATTCACAGACTCAAAGTTCAGAGGAAAATCAAGGATGAGGTGATCTGGAAATGTTGAATTGCCTGAGAAGAAATTTCATGTAGTAGAAATGGTATGTATTCATTTGGAGAATGAAGAAAAAGTAAAACTGGAGGAAATTAAACTGGGGAGGAAAAAACTGGTGTATAACTAACATCCACACCAACCACTATATATCTCCTTCTAGGACTACTGCCCGAAAATATTTTAATAAATTCTCTTAGTGGAGCTTTTAAATACAGTGTATAAAACATCTCACAGCATACGAGAGAGAGATTTCCCAGACTTTAAAAGAGAAAAGAGAGGTTTCCATGGACCTTTCAATAATCACTAAACACAAGCATTCCTTTGTATACATAACACAACTACAACTGGAAAGTCTACCATAAAACTCATACACCCATGACACAGCATGTCTAGCTTCTTTGGTGTTAATAATCAAAAATACCACGTTTATGAAATGAATAGTAAAGCAGCCACTTCTTCAGAAGTGGCATAATGTTAAGTCATTTTGGAGAGAGTGGTAAAACAGACTGCATTGACAAAACAGAATTTTAAGACCAAGACATTTTTATTCCAGTCATCTATTTTTTTCATCAATCTTACTTACCTTTGAAGATTCCCCTTGTGATTTTCTTCTTCCTATAAAGAAGAAATGACTTCGTCTGAATCGGTTAATTTTGGTCGCCTAGAACTAGGCCTGATTGTACTTAAGTGATTTGTTTGCTCTGCACCCCCAGGAAAACACCATTTAAAATGTACACTGAGGCCAAGCTCTGGTTAGGAGTGCTACTGCCCTGAGGCCTTTGAAGTACAATCATCAAAGCGAGGCCACAGCCTGATGAGGGGTTGGAGCTTCTGCAGTCCAGGGAGGAGCCCACACGAGTGAGAACAACTGGCTGTAAACTCTGTCATGGAGGAAGTGGCTCTTCGGTGCTTCCTCAAAAGACCTCACCGACTACATGAATTTCAAAGCCAGCTTTTGTAACAGCCTAAGTGTGAGAGAGAGACTGAGAGAGAGAGTGTGTGAGTGTGTGTGTGCTGTTAGAGAGGAAGATGGAAGGTGAAAGAATAACGTTAGGAGACTGGTGTCCCTTGGTCCCAGTCTTGCTGTAGAAGTTGACGTGACATCCTTAGGCTCGGGCACTTGATTTTAAACATTCCCATTTAGAATCAGAGGCAAAGTACAGTGCCTTCCCCTTTAGGAAGAATGATGCTGTGTTTGTAGAGAACAACAGAAACCCAAGGTTGTCTACTGAGAAAACACTCTTGTGCTGACGTGGTTGTGAAGCAGCAAGCCTCTGACTAACTTTAATGGAAGCATATTTTTCAAGACAGTAAATAGCAAGGGGTATTTATCACTTCCCCTTAGTAAGCATGCCCCTTGTCTCTGCCGTGCAGGTTCCAGTGGGCTGGAACCCAGCCACAGGCTCCCGACCCCACCCCATGTTACCTCTGCTATGTAACTGGACTGTACTAGATTGCCAATAGATCAGACAGGGTGGGACTGCAGCAATGTCCTGTCAACCTGATACACATTGCTGAGGATAAGGCATTTGACCTTACTGATGTGAGTGAAGTATAATTTCTGCATATTTCAACAACACTATTTGATATGAACTCGTCTAAGTCTTAAGTGTTTAGGAGACCAAATGATACGTGCAGCAACTGTTGAACTGCTTCACAGGTAATGATTCCTAGAACCAACTTTTTTTTTTTTTTTTTGAGATGGACTCTCACTCTGTCGCCCAGGCTGGAGTGCAGTGGTGCGATCTCAGCTCACTGCAAGCTCCGCCTCCCAGGTTCACGTCATTCTCCTGCCTCAGCCTGCCAAGTAGCTGGGACTACAGGCACCCACCACTACGCCCGGCTACTTTTTTAGTATTTTTAGTAGAGACGGTGTTTCACTGTGTTAGCCAGGATGGTCTCGATCTCATGATCTCGTGATCCGCCTGCCTCAGCCTCCCAAAGTGCTGGGATTACAGGCATGAGCCACCACGCCCAGCCCTGGAATCAACTTTTAAAACAAGGTTTTAAAAATCTTAAAGCCATAAAAACATACCTGACGCTGTGCCATGGAAATGTCTACAGCTCAGCTCACTCATGTGGTGGTCTAATTTATGTAAGGTTTCTAAGTGTTGGATGTTTTCCCTTTGCACAGAATTTTTTTGGTTATATTAGTTTTCTAGAATCAGAAGACTGTACTATTATTTCAAGAAAAGTTGAGGCTGGGTGTGGTGGCTCACACCTGTAATCCCAGCACTTGGGGAAGGCAAGGCAGACAGATCACTTGAGCCCAGGGGTTCGAGACCAGCTTGGGCAACACAGGGAGACCCTGTCTCTACTTAAAAACTAAAATTAAAAAAAATTAGCCAGGCATGGTAGCACGTGCCTGTGGTCCCAGCTACTTAGGAGGCTGATGGGGAAGGATCAATTGGACCTGGGAGGTCAAAGCTGCAGTGAGCCGTTATCAGCCACTACATTCCACCCTGGGCAAGACAGTGAGACCTCCAGCTCCAAAAAATCAAAAAAAAAAAAAAAGGGAAAAAAGAAAAAGAAAAAGTTGAGCATATACACGTCCTAGAATTACTTACTTCCTCTTGTGTGTTTTATGGGACACACTCATTTGTGAGACCTGCCTTCTGTATAGGACTCTAGTCCAGTATTTCTAAACCTGAAACAAGGGGCAAAGTTAAACTGACAGCAGGGCATGCTAATTGAGGGTCAAGCAAAACCCTTGGTGTTGTGAAGATTTCATTTTTACTCAGTTCGGAGGTTGCAGTATGCAAAAGTGCTGGAGCCCGCCAGGAGAGGAATCTGGCAGATGCCTCTTAGGCTTTATGACGGCTCCCTTATTCCATAGTAGTCAACTAGGATGGAGAAAACCTGGCTGACCTCAGGGAGGCGATTCCTGAACTCCCTCTCGGGCCTGTGGGCTGGTGGCTCCTCTGGCTCGTCATCCAGGGACAAGGCATCCAGGTAGAGATTCTCACTGGCCGAGCACCTGTCCGACTCCTTCAGCTTGGACAGCGGCTGGTCTTCAAACGGGATGGAGTCGGCGTCTGCACAAGGCCACATGGCCACAGGACGGGGCACGCGGTGGCTTCCCTGGTGGGGAAAGGGGCGAACGTTGCCGTCTTTTTGATCACAGAGGAAACTGCCACCTCTCCGGGGACTGTTCTCTTTCTGCAACTTGAGAATTTTAAAAATGAAAATAGTTAGCCTCACTTTTCTGTCTGATGGTCTCCCTAAGACCATTGTTTCTCCACAATTTGGAATTACTCATAGGTCAGTTTGAAAAACACTGTGAGAAGCAAATGTTCTTAACGTTCTGATCTTAATTTCAAAAGGTAACACAACATTACAGATGCTTTACAAAACCCACAATTTTATCTGGCCCAGAAATCTGCATTAACCACACACAAATACGGTGAACTCTTTCTGACACCAATATATGTGTTACTGTACATAACTCTGAGAGTTGTGCTCATGGGAAGTTCTACATTTATTACTATTTTTAAATCTAATGCTGTTAAAGAATATGTTTAAAATGCTCTTTGGAACTTCCTTCAGAACTGAAGACACACTCAGTGGAATACTGTCAGTGATAGCAAACTTCTAAGTGTGAAGCTGATTTTCCTAACTAGTCCCAGGGCATGTGGAACAGGTCCTATCAATAACTCAAGTGAGCAAACTTGAGTTTGTAACCATTTGGTGTTACAAACTCAAACGGCTGTTAACCATTTGGTGTTAAACATAACTTACACTTTGAGATGATAAAAACTTAGCTATAAAGGCAAGTAAAGATCTGGTATGACTGAGTGAAGAAAATTTTAAAAAGCCACTTTACATTATAGTCATACTTCTTTCCTGACTCGGTTGAACTCAAGAAGCGGCAGCGGGCGAGCACAGGGCCACCTGGAGTTAGAAGACCTGAGTCAGAACCATTGATGTGTGGCTTGCTGGTTCGCAGGCAGGTGCAAGTTCCCGACTCTCCTGAGCTCAGCTTCCTTATCTGTAAGATGGGTTGTGCACGTGGGCTCACAGGAGTCAGGCTGGCTAGTGGGGGCCCAGCCCACGTAAAGGCATTATGCCTTTCTGGGCCGTTTTGGGGCACTAGATGGAGATCTTGTGGAGGTGGCTCAGGAAAGGGGCCCATACGAAATCACAAGGAACTGCTGAGGCAGGCAGGCAAATGGCTTGCAGGGCGCACGGCCTCCCTCCCCAGAGGAGCCCTCACCAGCTTCCACTCCATTCTCCTGATCCCTCCTCATTGCTTCTCTTTCTAAAACAGCCACAGAAAGCACAACTGAGACCTGAAGCTATTTCTGCCTATGAGTCTTTAACGGAGCCTTTATTGGATGACAAGCTCACACTACAGGATTGACTGCTCTTCTGAATAAGTAAAGTACCTGAACGATGAAAGTGACATTTGGATTTGACCTGAAGGAGTGGCCAAACAATGATTTAAAGTCCTCAAGCGCTGAGACGGTGCCAGGAAATTCTGAAACCTCCTTGAATGCAGATCAATTCATTTTTTTTAAGCATCACTTACAAACTGCATCTCTGTGTCCTAATCTGAGCATTCATCCACACGTTGGATGCAAACATGCTTTCTGTATAGTCAGGAGAAAGCCATGGAAGACAGGAAAGACAAAAGGACGTTGGCTCATTGTTAGTAATTTCCAAGGCAGCGGAACAGAGATTTATCTTTATCTTTGAGAAAGATGGAGTCTGATGCAGCCAAAGCTTACATGTTAGCATCTGAGGCAGTTCACAGTCAAATGAAGGACCCAGCAAATCCTAAAAACTCTACGTTTTAGCTCTGCCCCTCTGCTCTCTCCTCCTCCTCCCTGATGATGACACAGTTCTTTGCAGTTTTCTTAAAGATGCTAACTGCTTTCTTTAAAAAAAAAAAAAAAAAAAAAAGGAAGGCTTTTTATATGTTCATTTAATGCATGTCGGCACAATTTAGTTTCAACACATGATCATCTCTAAGCTATTTTGGGCAAGAAATTAAAATGCAAGAATCCCATCTGAAGCTGCAAATGTGCGCCGAGGGTGTGGAGTGAAGGGGGAAAAGAATGACTGAAGAGGAGAGCTATGAACAAGCACCTTCTAACTCAGTGAAGTGGGATTTCAAAAATAAACGCAGGCAGCTAGGAGCAACTTGTACTCAAGCTGCTAAGTGTTAGGTTTCCTAAAAACGAACTGGAGTGCTTGTGGTGGAGATATCTGCTGCTAAGATGCCTCTGGGGTGTTGTAATAGAACGGTCCTCAGAGCGGGAGGGGTTCCTACAGGAGTCATTTCAGCCAGCATCAGCACCTACTTGCAACCTTGGAGTAAAACAACTTTTAATGCCAGTCGAAAATGTTAAAGATTCGTATTTTAATACAGGAAACAATAAAGGTGACCTCAAGAGTGTCACCTTACCCAGACTGGTAGAAAGAAAAAAGGCCACTTTGTAAACAGGTTTTAAAAGAATGGATTTTTTAAAAGAATGGCAGCTGATTTAAGAAAGTTACTGGAAGGAGAATGCATGGATGACACTTTTTAGCTTGGTAAGTACAGCAAATATAACAGCAAATCCTATGGATGACACTTTTTAGCTCCATCGGTACAGCAAATATAACAGCAAGTTTTACATCATCTGCATGTTAACTGGGAACTCAACAATTCTAAGGAGAAATGTAATGTGACTCCATAAAGTCTCCTACCCCCACCCCGCAATCAAACTGGGATTGAGACAAGAGAGGCTGATAAGATAGATAAAATGTGTTATATGACCTTAGCCACATTCCCACAGTCATACATCACATAACATGCCTCATGTGGTGCAGAAATTATGTAGGAATTTAATGACACCGGACAAGTATGAAGCATGTGTTCTGAAAGTGGAAAATGGATTTAGTGTTACTTCTTTCACCATCTGTATTAGGTTATCACAGTCAAGGTTATATTATATGGCTTACCAAGCAGTCAAATGTTGAGAGGATACATTGTGAAGAATGTTCAGTTACATTTCTCATTTACCTATGGCATACGTAGCTAGAAGTTAAATGAACAAGCAACCCAATGACTGATAAACGAACCAAATCTACACACGCCCAGACACACTGGAACCAATATCCTCTTTTCAGGAAGTTGAGATAATGCCTATAATTGCTTTCCCTCATTATCAGGATGGGGCACTGAGATTTAAGAAATCGTCTTTAAAAATGTTTACTATTTTGGAGAAAAGGCCAGATTTATTTTTGAAAGCCACAATTGCATGTCTGAAGCGTCAGTTCATTTGTAACCAATCGTCTTCTAAAAACAGCAATGACATCATTGCACAAAAACTGTGGGATCCATCAGACAGATTTCAGGAACAGATGTATGCCCGAAACTCACGTGTTTCAGATCCACGATGCTCAAAGATGTCCACCTTGAGGACTGGGTTCTGAGGCGGTCAGTGTGGCCGAACTATTCCAATACTGACAACTCAGAATTGGAGGTCAGCTCCTGACGACTACTACCTTTCCAAAATATAGTCTCAAAATGAGGCTGTGGCTCATCTTTAAGTCACTGACTTTTCAAAAGTTGAGTATCACCACAAGTGTCTAATTTGTCCTTTAGCAGAAATTCTTCATTCCCAAAAGTAAAAATAAAAACCTAAAAGACTTGCTTAATTTATATCCAAGGTGTGACTTCCCAAACAAATGAAGCCTGTGACTAGTCCAACAAGCCACCATGGCTAACAGGCGAAGGGCACCCTAAAGGGGCCATGGCAGGGATCATGATGGCCTCACCAGGGTACAGGAGGGACGTAAAAAGTGAGTGGCCCTAGAGCATGAGCCAAGAATGAAGCTCCCTGGCGACAAGTTGCCTGGAGTTACTGTGACACCAGTCAACTAAAGTTGGATATAATAAATTAGTGCCAATTCTATCCCTAAGATTTCCACCTAACCATAGAGCACAGACACACAGGAGATTTAATACAGGAGACTCTTCACAAGTGCTGCATTTCCAAGCCAGAAAGGAAGTGGCCAGCATTCCTCTTGATAGGATTTGGGGAATATCAAAGATTAGTAAAGTGACTCATTTGTGTAAGTGGTGAAACCTAGGAAGAATTTCAGCTCTTCTATCTGCAGTGTACTTTCCTTCTTTTGTTTTTTTGGAGATGGGGTCTCGGTCTGTCGCCCAGGCTGGAATGCAGTGGTGATCAAAGCTCACCTGCAGGGATTTTATTCTTCTCAGTGGTTTCCAAGCCAAAGGCTCTTGGTCTTTTTTACCATTTAGTTCATTCTGCCTCCCTCCCCATCCAACATATGCATATGCTCACCTTTGTCATTGTACCTGCATAACACAGGCACAGGCACCATGTCTGGATAATAGAGCACGTTTTTCAAAAGGCTCTATGGGTATTTAAAATAGAGTAATGAGATTATTTTTCCTGAGCTCAATTTCTTAGTGATTAATACATTTCCTTGAGACCGCATAAATTTGTAAGTGTGTGACTGGCTGAAATAAACAAAATGTATACTATGTAAAAATCCAGCCAGGGAAGAATTCCAGATCTTCATCAATTTAATTTGTGTATCCCTCAGGAACTACTGCAACTATGCAAACTGTTCTAAGTCTGATGCAATGCAGAGAACGGTTATATTGGCAGAAAAACGACTACCCCCGTCCTCCCCAAATTCATCTGAGTTTCTGAATTGTTTGTTTAGCTAAGATGATGAGCTACCAGCTACCTCTCTTGACTATGGTCCATCTAATCACAGCTCAGCAATATCCACAGCGGGCACACTCACCAGCAAACAGCCTGACTTCCAACTGAATTCAGCAATTTCTTTTCTAATGACAACAATTCCATTCAAGTCGGAGCAGTCACTGTGACCACATCTTTAGTGGCAATCTTAAAAGTTATAGTTTGTTTTCAACTGAATAAGACCTGAAATAACCTCCTCTTTCCAGTTTAGTCTTTAAATTCCTTTAAAAAGTTATCCCCCCTCCCACAACCCCCACCCACCCTGCGCTGCCACTACCACACGTACACACAGGAGAGTTACCTATGAACTTTGCAATGAAAAGATCTGTGTCATGGAGAGGCATGAGCCTAGGTCTCCAACACAAGCAATTCTAGTATTTCTCTCTCTTCCTTTGGAAGCCCATGCATCCTGATGCTGCAAGGACCACAAAGCAGCCTAATGTTTTTGCTTTCTGGGTCCATTGAGTAGTCTACACTCTGTGCCTATGCTCCAGGGCCCGGGGTGCCTCCTTACCTGCTCTATCCTCCACAGGAGTTCCTTCTTCTGCCGCTCCCACTCCTGCCGATCTCTGTCCAGGCGGTCGAGAAGTTCCACCTTCTCCCGGTTCCAGTTCTTCTCGCTGTGATGGATCTGCCAGCGCAGGTCCATGACCAGGCTGTGACTGTCGGCCAGGAGCTTCTGGTGCACCTCTCTCTCCTTCTTCAAGGCCCCCTTGCTCTCAGCGGAGGAGCCTAGTTCTCCCAACTTGTTCTCAGTCTTCTCTTCCAGCTGTCAAGGAGAAAAGACTTAGGAATTCCCTCTCTGACAAGTCTTGCATTCAAGGATGAAGTCTCAGCACATTTACATGTGATCCCTGGAAACATGTTTAAACCGAGATTGACCAATCCCATAGTATAAACAAATTTTATTTTTAAAGTCCTAATTAAGAGCATTTGACACAGACAGTCACGAAGAATGTTAAGCGGTGAGTAAACTGAGCTTCCCATGGCCAGCTTCCCTGCTCCACTTTCCTAGTCTAAGTCACCACTGTCTCTTGCCTGTACTTCTGTGTAACTCCTTGTGGGCAGGTACCACAAGGTACCTGTCCCTATATCCTTAGCTCCTATATGGAACCTAGGGATGGGACAGTTTTCAATAAATATTTGTCAAATACCCAGGAGGTTAAATATCAAAACCAAACAAGATTCTACATCTTATGTATTCAAACTTGTGAAAACCAAAGAGAAGACCTTAAAGACAGGGAAAAATGACACATGCCATAGAGGCAGAAAGACGAGAATTCCAGGAGGCTTCTCATCAGAAACTTTGCAAGTCAGAACATGATGGAGTGGCATCTAAAGTGCTGCAAGAAAAAAGATCCCAACCTAGACTCAATTCTGTATGCAGAAATGGTATCTTTCAAAACAGAAGGAAAACACTTTTCAACAAATGAAAACTGAAAACAAAAACAAAAACAAAAACAAAAAAAAACATTGCCAACAGACCTGCACTTCAGGAAATGAAAAAGGAAGTTCTTTAGGCAGAAGGAATATACTAACAGACACTTTGATCTCTACAGAAAATAAACACTGGAAATGACATCTATGTAAATATAAAACTCATTATTTCTGTTTTAATTATTTTTAATATTTGATTATCTAAAATTGTTACAATGTGTTGTGTTTGCAGAATATGTAGAGGTAAACTATGACAGCAATAGCACAGAGGATGGGAAAGAACTGGGAATATACTGTTGCAATTTCCTCAGGCACCATGAAAAGTAGCCTAATAGGATTTCAAGGTAGACTCTGAGTAATTAAATACGTATATTATAAACCCTAGGGCGAACACTAAAACTGCACGGCAAACACTAAAACCGCACAACAGCTTGCTGTTCAGTGCCTTGTTTTTACCCTCACAAGCAATCTCTTATATTTTATTAAGTGCACAATTTTAAAAAATTGTATACTTTTCAAAGAAAGGCCTTTCACACAGATTGCCTCACTTGGTCTCTACTGCAATCCTCTACGTATAGGTATCCTTATTTCCAGTTTATTTGTGAAGAAATGGCAGCTCAGTGCTTCAGGGACTTGCCAAAGGGACATGGTAAGTCAGTAACCAATATTCATATGTAGAGTTCAATTAACTTTCTTATAATGAGTTACTTCAAGACCCACTAAAATCATTCATGGCTGATTATCCATGTCTAAGCAGATTGTTTTAACTTTTCTAAGGCTATATATATGTATATAAAAATATAAAGATTAATGACTTAAACCAGCCAGTATTATTACATTTAGAAAGACGTCTGTATCAGTGCTGTAGTCTGGATGTCTGTCCCCCAAACTTCACGTTGAAATCTGATCCCCAGTGTCGGCGATGGGGCCTAGTGGGAGGTGTCTAGGTCATGGGAGTGGATAGATTCATGCCCTGCGGCAGGGACTGAGTAACTTCTCCCTCTATTATTTCTTTATGAGCTGGTTGTTTAAAAGAGCCTGGCACCTCCTCCCACCTGCACTTCCTTTCTTGCCCTATGATCTGCACACATCAGCTCCCCTTTGCCTTTTGCTGAGTGGAAGCAGCTGGACCTCTCCAGTAGCAGATGCTGGCACCATGCTTCTTGTGCAGCTTGCAGAACTGTAAGCTAAATAAACCTCGTTGTTAAATAAATTACCCAGCCTCAGGTATTCCTTTACAGCGACAGTAAATGGACTAAGACAGGCTGCTGAGTGTGTGCTCAGTTAAACTGAAAGTTCTTGCCCACCAGGGACTCACTGGGAGAGAGCTAACATCGAATCTCGCCTCTGTAATAAAGGCAAACCCTTCATTAAGTGGGGAGAGCACACTGTTTTGTCCCTGAATCTGAGTGGGACTCTGGCCTTCTTGGAGAGAAAGCAGGGAAAGGCCTGAGGAAGCAGATGACAGACACGGGCACGGGTCAGTGGTGACACTTCTTGATCAATTATAAAACGCAAATCTGGGGAAAATAAAACTTTTTTTAAGTAGAAAGAATGCAGAAACAAAAGAGGGGAGAAACTTCCAGTGTTAGCTAACCAGAAGACTACCAGAAAAGCACCAAGCACCACAAAATCCCATTTTAAAAGAGCTGCTGGAAGCCCACATAACCCAGAATGAAAGGCCGCTGAGCCCCTCGCAGGTACGTCTGTTCACCTGCAGATGCTTCCAGCCACCAACATGTCCTCTCTTTAGAATCTCCTCATGCAGCGTACCCCTTCCTGGGCCCCACATCGCCTCTGCTCACCTGCTTTGTGAAGACAGTGAAGGCACATTCCTTCTGCCCACAAACTCCTCTGTCCACACCTCTCAGGTCTCTCATGGTCAGGGTCACCCCCTCCCCTCAGTGCTTAGAGCCCAATCCCCCCGCCTGAGGGACCTCGTGTCATCAGTGTCCCTACACTGTCAGGTCTCACTGGACAGGCCTCCCCGTGACCCCGCGGCTCCTGTTACTGCACTGTCTGTGCTCCCTCTTTCCCCTTCCCCGCCCAACTCAACTTCTGTCCCTCTGCACAGCGCACAGTGCTTCAGCCCCACACCCCGACGGCAACTGCTCGTCAAGTTTTCCAGTGACCTCCTCACTGCCAAGTTCAACAAAGCTTTTTATCCCTCATCTGTCCCGTCCTCTTCAAAGCATCTGATATTGCTGAACTCCACTTGGAACGCCATGGTGTCTCTCCTTTTGGCTTCTGGGACGGCATTTGCTCTGGATGTTCGTACATTTCTCTGGCTGCCCCTTTCCAGTCTCTTCTCCCTCTACTCATTTCTTGAAAATGAATATTTTGGTTCCTTCTATGAGTTCCTCTCACTCTGTGCAGTCCTGGAGGGTCCTCCATGGCCCTGCCTCCCACCTCCTCATTCACGCCCAGGGATATGCATCTTCAGCCCAGCCCCCAGTGCCTGTGATGACACATACCTCAACTCAAATCCAACCTGTTCCCTTTCCATCCCAGCTGGTTCTCTCTGCGTTCCTGTCTTGGTGATGGCGCCATCGCCCAGGCACCCACACTAGAAACCTGAGAGCCGTGTGAGGTGCTTGTTGCTCCACGGTGTCTCATGAACCGGCCACCAGGCCCGGCCATTCTCTACTTGCTCTATTTTTTTCAGGTGTTTTCCCTCGACTCCTTCTCCACTGCTGCTGCTTTACTTCAGAGTCACCCCTCTTACCTCCAGTCTCTGCAACCCAGGGCTCCTCAATATTTTTACTGTGGACCCAGGTGGCAGCCTGGTGAAGCCAAAAGTCTCCTCCTCACTGTTAATTCTGGGATATCCACAACAATTGTAAAGGGAAATGGAGAGATGTGTGATTACTTCTTATTCTTTCATTCCATATTTCCTTTCAAAAAGATCCGTGATTTCTGTTGGGCTTGTTGCCTACATTTATAACTGGAGGACACGCTCAATTTTGGTGGAAAGTCAGTGATCGTAAAGATGCATCTCTTTCCTATTCTAGTTCGGCAATTCCCTGATTTCAGTCTATAGACCGCTAACCCTAGGTTAATCCATTCAATTCTAATGGCTCCTAATCCATTCTCTATCTTGAAGCCAGAATAATCTTTTGAAAAAGGGAATCTAAGCTTTCATGATAAAATCAGAATTAAAGGATCAATTCCTTAAATATTACTCTTTCCCCTCATACCTAAGCTTATCAAATGAGCCATGCTCCTTTCTTCACGGTACTCTTTTTTTTTTCTTTCTCTTCTTTTCCACATTCCAGTTCTTGTCCATCCTTTGAGACTTTTCTCAGCAGGACTTTCACAGCCTTCCCCGAATTCTCAAGCCAAGGCATGTACCTTGCATGTTCCTGTTCCCTGAGAGCCCTATGTGCAAGCCTGGTGGGCACTTTCCATGCTTTTATAAAGGACAGCACTTGTTTGGGTCCCCCACTGCACTGAGAACCCCTTCAAGGAACATCTGATTTCTTGCTGGATCTTCAACATTTAGAGCAAGGCCTGACTCAGGAGTCTGCTGAAGGAATCGAGGACCTGGGAAGTGTCATCAACATGGGCTCCACTGAAGGAAGGTAACTTGTAGCAGAATTAAACTGTTCTGCATTTAAGTAGAAGAGAGTAAATATGGGATTATTACAAATGGGCTAGCATCATCCTATATTGCTTCCTGGGTTGCAAACGTTTAAGAAACTTCCTAAATGATTTGGGCAGAAGATAAACTCTCTACCTATGACCACCTGCTGGCTTCTGGGTCTGAAGTTCTAGCTTTATTTTTTTGGTATTTAGGGACTCTCCCTAAGGGTTTATTTATAGCAAACCTGTGGGTGGATACTACGTTCCTATAAAACAAAGATGAAATGTTTTGAAACTGGCTTGCATCGAAGATTACACCTCCCTTCTTTAGCCACAGTTCGGGCTTTGAAAACATTTAGCTCCCTCTATAAACATATTTTTTAAATAGGGTTAAAGGCAGCTCATCAGAGACTGTCCTTAGTCATTTCTCCTTCGCTGCTGACGCTGCAGGCGGGGACTTAGATAAACGGAGCATCTAGGTCAAATCTCCCGCGGGCAGCAGGCAGGAGCCACAACCAGGCCAGCTGCTCTCTCACCTGATGCTCAGGCCTGCAAGGCTGTGTCCCTGCCCCACCCACGGCTGTCAGCCCAACATCGCTGCTTGCTGCGGCCAGGTGGAAATGCAGGGGAACTTGTGGGCACCAGGAGAGCTAGAGTTTATTTTTTTGTTTTCTATTTTTTTTTATTTATTTATTTTTTTTTGACACATCAAGCCTTTTTCATCTTTTATCTAGACCATTTGACAGGGGGTCTCCTTTCCAGGCAATTCTGTTCCTTTCATGACCAGGCCAATTCCTATAAAATTTTACTTACTTTATGGTTTGCCTCAAAATAGAATCTAGGAAATAGATTACCAAGGATACACAGATCTGCCCTCCCTCCTCATGATCAAGGGGCTGGAAGAAACCTTGAGAGCTGCTCTCAGCAGCAGATGCCATGTAGGAAGTCACATGACATTCAATGGTTTCCAAAGAAGAAACACTTAGGAAAGGATGTTTCTTGCTATGTCTAATCTTAACTCCTATGCTGGGGCTTCCCTCTGGTGTGCGGTGGAGGCAGGAAACCTGGGCGATCTTCCTGCCCTAGCACTAAATGGCTCTGTTATCTGAGCCGAGCTGTTTCTTCTGGGCCTCAGTTTCCTTTGGTATAAATAAGGAGACTGAAATTGATTAGAATTCTTGGGCATGCAGTGGGAGGTCTCGAAGTTCTTTCTGATATTTTGAAAAATCTCAACGAAAGCATGCATTTACCTTTTTCAAAGACAACTAAACCACAATCTGCTTTTGCTTTGCTCCTGCCCAGAGCGATGTCAGCTCAGTGTGATGACAGCTTCAGCGTGGCCATCCTCTGATGGAGCTAAATACACGCTTGTTTAATGCAGAATGGGAGAATACATGCTGCTCTGAAAATGCTGCTTGGTGGAGGCCGTACGTGGGAGAGGGGACATCAGGGAAAATGAGGCCTCTGCACTCTAAGAAGGGACACAGTCACTCCTCTCTTTTTTCCTGGACAGGAAGCCCATGGTTCTGAATCTCTCTGTGCCCACTCTCCTCCACGTATCCTGGACAGCAGAGACACATAGTCAGGATCCAGAGAGACCTGGGAGGGTGGTACCTGTTCCAGACGGCACTTGAGCACGGCCCACTCCACGTCCCAGGCTGCCTTGTCGCTGGCGTACTGCTGCTGCAGCCGCAGTCGGGCACGCTCGTCCTCCCGCAGCTCCGCACGGAAGTCCTCCAGCAAGGTCTTGAAGGCGCTGAACAGCTGCTGGTTTTCCACCACCTGTGGGAACACTGAGTCAGGCTCCAGCACCTCCTGCAAGCGTACTTTTTAGGTCAGAAGAGGAGAGGATCTGGCCATCACGGTAGGGTGGGGGTTGTCTCCCAGGTGCTGTTGGCAGTGGGTGCAGGGCGGGTGGGGAGTCTGCAGTTTGCCAGGGAGCAAGGGGTCCCTGTTGCTGGCCATCGGTCTCCTGGGCCTGAGACTGAGGACCTGTTTGATCGGCAGGAAGGTAGAAGGAAGGCTGCCCTGGTGACCTGGCAGCTGTGTTCAGAGGCTGGAACCTGGGCTGGCGCTGTGGGAACCTGCCACAGAGGTGCTCTGGGCCCTGAGGAGCAGGAGCAAGGAAACTCTAGGAGGCCACAGGGAACCGCGAAGCCAGGGCTGCCAGTCACCGTGTGACTTCAGATGTCCAGAACACTGAGTTGGGCTGACAAGACTACCATGGGGGTGCAGATATGACAAGACCGATACACCCACTCATATATATGCTGCCATTCTAGTGCCAGATGTTGTACTAGAGGAAAATTAACAAAGGCCAAGGACTCCTATGCACCAGTCAGACCGGACTCTGACTTGTGGTTACTAAAAGGACACAGATATGACACGCATGGCCACTGCTGGTGGGTGGGTTTAATTATTAAACATTTTGATGCTTAATAATTAAAGCCAAAGGTGAAATGCGCAACCTGTTCATGAAGGTTTTATTGTGGTTCCTTGAGATGGAACTACTAGCCCTCACTTTTCTGCCTCTCAGACAGGGACAAGCCAGACCCACCCTCACATTTCCAGTATTTGGCACAATCCGTGGCTCATGTTAAGCATGCAAATGTGTCTGGTAAATGAAGAGTGCATTTTTATTACTAATGTGCTTATATCTAACTTAAAATGGTTTATATGTTCTAAAGCCTGCCCAGCCTTTTGAAGTCAAATTTCAAAGCCATGATTTCTATCTTAGTACATTTCAGCAAGGGCATTATATCAGAAAGGTTTGGCCAAATGAATGAAACATGCTGAATCAATTATGGTACCTTGACAATAAAAGCCTCGTGAGCCCATCTCTTCCAATCAGCACTGAAAGCACATCACAAGCTCTCTGGGCGGTCTCAGGGCATTTTTTTGGGTGCATTTATGAAGCAGGAGTTATAAAAGCTCTCTAAGTCCCACTGGATATAGACAAGCTCTAGTACGGAAAAACAGAGCCCCACCCTCTCAGAATTCCTCATCCCCCAAACTTGATAAACCTCTCCTCCCTGGTTCGGCAAGCACACTGGGGACCCTTCCTTCCGGTTCTGCACACACACCGGCCTTCACTCCGCAGTCATGCTTCTAAATCCATCTAGTTGATCCACTAAACATACACAAAAATGGTTAAACATATATGGGAGGAATTTAAGATACTTTGGATGGATGTTTGTATTTATATAAAATTGTACAGCCACAAAAAAGAATGAAATCATGGCTTTTGTAGCAACACGGATGCAGCTGGAGGCCATTATCCTAAGCAAGTTAACGCAGGAACAGAAAACCAAATACCGCATGTTCTCACTTATATGTGGGAGACAAACACGGGGTATACTCGGACAGAGAGGGGAACAACAGACACTGGGGATTCCAAAAGGGGATGCAAGGAGAGGGGCAAGGGTTGAAAAACTACCTATCGGGTACTACGTTCACTACTTAGGTGACGGGGTCATTAGAAGCCCACACCTCAGCATCATGCAATATACCCATATAATAAACCTGCACATGTACCCCCGAACCTAAAATTATATATATATTAAAATATAGATTATATACATTTATAATTATATATTTTATATAATTTATATATTCAAAAATAAAGTTGTATTAAAAAGAGAAATTCTTTAATATGAGCAGATTTATTATAGGGATCTCCATAGTTGTCGCCAGTATTTAATCGAGTAGACTTTTTTTTTTTTTTTTTTGGAGACAAAGTCTTGGTCTGTCTCCCAGGCTAGAATGCAGTGGGTCACGGCTCACTACAGCCTCAACCTCCTGGGCTCAAGCAGTCCTCCCACCTCAGCCTCCCAAGTAGCTGGGACTATAGGCGTGTGCCGCCACACCCAGCTAATTTTTGTATTTTTTGTAGAAACAAGGTTTCATCATGTTGCCCAGGCTAGTCTCAAACTCTGGTCTCAAGTGATCCACCTGCCTCAGCCTCAGAAAATGTTGGAATTGTAGGCATGAGCCACTGTGCCCAGCTACAGTGGACTTTTGATGGAGTAGAAAGGCTTGTTTGTTCATATTTATTGCTCTTTTTCTCACAGGGAACAATTTTTACTTTAATAACTCCGGGACAAAACGCATTAAGAGTACAGTTCAGTTAACATTTGAAGAACTCAGAAGCTAGGGAACCATCTCTGAGTCTTATATATTCTTACCAACCCACTGAATAGAAATAAATTGGCACTATACTCAAAGACATGCTCGCCAAATATGTGAAGCTGTGACAAACACAGAACAGTTTTTAAAACTCCACGTCAAAAAGTACCTAAAAATTAGCCAGGTGTCATGGCTCTTGCCTGTAGTCCCAACTACTCAGGAGGCTGAGATGGGAGGATGGCTTGAGCCCAGGAGTTCAAGGTTACAGTGAGATACGATCACACCACTGCCCTCCAGTGTGGGTGACAGAGCAAAACCCTGTTTCAAAAAAAAAATCTAAAACTTATCTAAGTACAGTTGAGTGATAAGACGTGTCACAACAATCTTTTCAGAAATATACATCTTCATATAGAATTTGTTTGCTGAATAATCACATATATTTTGTGGTAGATTTGTTTGGGAGTTTCATCTTTGGATTTTAAATTAAAAATCACTGCTTTTTGAGTCAAGAGTATTTCACGCAGAAAATAATGGTAATAATTTTGATCCAGTTTTTGGAGAAGTCATTTAATTTTCACTGAAAAGAAAGCAGAAAACCATATAATACATTGTTATATGTAATCAATAGTTTCCTATGAATGCCAAGTTACATATGGTATCAGACTATGCTGTTCTTGGCCCATACACCACACGACATTAGAATCAGAACTGTACAGTCCTCTTGCAGATTGGAAACCTGGTTTCTCTGGTAGCAAGTACTTTTTGGCTTTAACAGATACTGAATTCAATAAAATTTAAGCCTTAATGATTTATGCACATTTGCATCAGAGTAATCAAAACAGTGCTCTATTAAACCAGGATAATATTAATCAACGTGGAATGAGCTCCAGAATTGCTTTGGAGTGAAGGTGGCCAAAGGGAGCAAAAGAGCCCAGCTCAATGCTGTTGGTACCTGTTATCATCATTCCCCAAGAGCAGCATGTGGCACAGCAGGAAGCCAGGCCAGCTCCTACCATTAGCACGCAACAGCATAAGTAGACGTCCATGTCAACATTTCTGAAGACCCAGAATGAGCCGTAGATGGGCATGATTTTTCTAATGACTTTCACACACATGAAAAAAAAAAGTAATGATAATTACTAATATTATAGGTGTTTCCTATGGCCAGGGGGTGTACTAAATTACCGCCAACATGACCTTATTTATATGTCACATCAATTTTGAGTGCATATGCTATGTTCCCCATTTTACAGAGGAGGAACTACGGCTTGGAGTGGCTGAGGGCCAAGGTTCTACTGTCAAGGAAGTGAGATCCTGGACTGCAGTCCAGGTCGTCCCCTTCCAAGGCCAACAAACGGAGCCAGGAATATTCGAATTCTGACATTATACCCTGCCAAGCCGCCTTCTTCTTCTTCTTCTTCTTTTTTTTTTAACTTCACCTTGCAGAAGCCATCTAATCCCCATGAAGCTAATTCCATTTCCCATATCAAGGGAAATTAATGATAGTGAGTCATTCTGAGAGAATACCTAAAAGTTAACTTCTCTTATTTTTTTTCCCCTGGTGGCACCCCTTGCTGGGCTACCTTCTGGGTAAAAAGATGACCCAAATCAAGTCAAGAATCAAATGAAGACTCAGGTCCATTAAGACGTCTTTATGATGTAAGTCTTCTTGGATGCGGGACTTTCTGAACCTTTTGTGCCGGGGTCTAGGATGCAACCTTTTAGCTTGTACATGTGTTGAGTGTAGGTCAGTTTCAACTCAAAAATCGGGCTTTTCATTCAGATATCAGCTGGCTGATTTTCTAGCAAAGCAGCAGGATAAAAAGCTTCCAACTATTTCCCTCTCCTCCGCCTATAGGCATTCCAGCCTCACCTAGCTCAGCTCTCTTGAGTGAGACTTACAATGTGCTGTAATACGTCAAACTTTTTAACGGGTTCAGAATTGGTCTTTGGTCCATCAGACTGCTATCCAAGTCTATCTATCCAAGTCTAATATCCAAGTCTATTAATAAGTATTACTAATAGAAAGGGAAATGGAAGTTTGTAGATAAGGTAATGTATCAAGGTATTTGTGATGCAATGCTGGCTATTTTTCAAAATTGTTCTTGCCTAAGATTTCTAGGATTTCATCAGGTGAAATCACAGCTCTACAAAAGAGCTAAACCACCACCAACTACTTTGCTTGCATCAGAGCCACTAACTTTATAACAGATTATAAGCTTAATCTGAAGCTGGAACACACATTGACTTGCTGCTATGGGTTAACCCACAAAACAACAGTCACAAAATAGAGATGACAGCATCCACGTTTATTTAGGCTCCTTGACAGAGGCAGGGGAATTCCGGAATGATGCAGTAGCTGCCCAGACCCCCCACAAGGCACGCATAGCTCCTTTTAGAGACCTCACTTAGCATTCAACACAGGCAACTCCTCCACCAGCAGGAGTCCCTGGAGAAATTCTTTACTGGGAGATTAGCTAGAATTGATACGTTCACACAGCCGGCAACATTTTTATAAATGAGCCATTTGTTGTTCTCCTCAACGTAACCTTCACTGTTACATCCAGAAAAGTTCTTTTCTAAAAACCATTATCCCCTACAGAGAACGGGCCACTGAAGACAGACCCTGAAAACAGAATCGATTAATATCATGGGCATTAGAGTCATTTACACACGGAAGTCCTCTGCCCTCTGGCCAAGAGTCTGCCCGGTGATCCCGTCCAGGAGGGCTCCGGGCTGCGGGCTCCACAAATGTCACCGAGGGCTTCCCAAGAACAAATGTGGATCCGGGAAAGAAGAGATGAGGCACATATTTTATAAGCTGTAAACACAGTTTTCAACCCAGAGGCTTAGGAAACCAGGGCAAGTCTGATGAAAATCAGGTGGTCACTAGGGAAGAAACTTATTTGTGAGGTCCCAGGTTGAGTTAGGCACTTTGGAAGGCCTGTGGCAACCTGCTGGCCATGGTTGACTCTGGGAGGCAGGACGGGGCGGGGAGAGTCCTTCCACCAAGGACCCATCTGTGCATGTGAATTTTTACCTCACGCAGGGGCTACTTTCGGAGTGACAGAACAACTGCCACCACAAGTACATGGCAAAGATAAAACACTTCACGATCCCAAGCTCTGGTCTGGTTCCTTTTACGGAAAGAGAAGCATGCCTTATAGGGGAGGCCTCCCAGTTGCAGGATAAACTGAAGAATGAACCACAGTATGACGTACAAAATTGAAATGTAAACACCATCTAGGCTCAAGAGAACTTTCTTATAAAAAAAAAAAAAAAGTCAGGCAGATCACAGTTCTGATGTGAGGCCTCCTCTGGCAAGCGTGCAGTTTCTGCAACTTAGGCAAGCAAAGGTGGGCAGCCTGCATGGCCAGAAAGGAAGACTGCTGGGGCCTGGGAGAGCCACAGCCCCGGAGGCCCAGGGAGCCAAGGGCTTTCTGGCTGCAGGAGAAAGGCTGACTCTTCAGGCAGCCCCTGAAGGCCCTAATGCAGCACAGGAGCCCCGACAAGGAGCAGAGGTCCAGGCAAGTGGAGTCTACTCAGTTCCGAGGCTGGACTGGGTGAGGCTCTTTAGTGACCCGTAGCAGGTGAAGACTGAAATATGAAATACAATTCCTTCAGCTCTTGCTATGAATTTTATATTAGGTTCTTCACACTTTTTTTTACTTAGTTGTTTTATTAAATGATAAAGAGAATTAGGTCACATCCCTGAATGAGAAAGTAACTTCTTTTTAAATCAGTTAACCCAAGTAGGGAAAACGAGATGCTGGCGCCCCAGGGCCATCATTCCCACACCATTCATCACCTTGTGTGAAGAAGCTGGATTCCAGGAATTACGAATCAGTATGAAATGCATAAACAGCCTTAGGAATGCTGACCTCAAATGCTTAACACAGTGGCAAGAGTCTTGGAGCTAAGGAGAACTATACGATTCCCTCTGAAAAGCATTCACTGTGGCTCCAGAGCTACCAGGTCATGACCATGAACTCATGTAGCTGAACACTGGGAAACAGGGAGTGTCTGCAGAGCCAAATGTCTGCCAACCTGATGATTTGTTGTGAGCCATCCCAAGGTTGATCAGTGTATGCAGTTGTTTTTTAAACCTCTGTGGACATGATAAATGTTGCCATCTACTTGAGTTCAATTGTGAGAATGTTCCATATGTCACAAAGCAAAGACCAAGGCCTGAGGAACACTGTGACTGAGAACTTGTCCTTGGGAAAACGGCTTGGCTAGGTTTCCCATGCTGCTAATCGCCTTGCGAGGTGCTCGGCGTTTCTGGAACGGCCCGGCTCTGTGCAGCTCTGCGAGACACGTGCCCTGGCTCTTGCATCCCAGCTGCCCGGCTAATACTCATGCCAGTCACAGAGAGGCAAATCCTCTAACCGGGAATGTTCCCTCCCAGAGAACCAGCTGTCGTTACAGTAGAGCTCGTCCATCTTCCGTCCTTGGACAGATGAGTGTTGTGCACGCAGTAGTGAGCTCCTTGCTCACTACTGTGGACACTGGCCCACTCGGCAGACCTGGGTCTCAGTGTCTGGACCCCACCCGGCCACCTATCCACGTGCTTCTATAACACGCGGCCCGCAGTGGAAGCTCACGGGTCCATCTCTTGCTAAAAACTAGTGTTGGAAGAAGCAGGAAGCAAAGGGAAATGACATTAAGATATGCTGAATGTAAGGTTCCAGCTGAGTGACTTCACATTGTTTTCCACCCTGAGAATAACATTTTCCATGACTGTTGTTTAGAAAACCAGACGTGCGAGGTGTCTCCTCGTCCAGAGCATCTGCGTGAGTGAGTGGGAAACACGTTGTCTTAAATGCAGCAGGTTTGCGGTGAGGTGGGAACAGTGGCCATCAGTGGCAATATTATGGGAGGAAGCACACATGCTTTATGAGATTGAATGACAACATTTCTTTCAAAAAAGTAAAATTAATAGATTTTAAAGCATTATTTGCAAAGTAGCATTTTCATTTCTAACTAGATTATTGCTGGAAAACTCATTCCATGACCTAAATTCTCCCACGAACAATGGCATAACGGCATACTTTCTGATGGCTGTGAATAAAAGTTCCTTTGAAAGTATCATCTCCTTAAGTCATGTTATTCAGGGAGAATGAAGGGGGTACGGGTGTACATAGGAAACAGCTGTTTAGGTGTGAAAATCTGATTGTATAGAGAGGGAGCAGGGGGAACCCAAATTCCCCTCAGCCTACACTCAGAAGGTCGCCGCCTGTCATCTGGATCCGAGCCAGCGCTCTGGCGACAGCCCGCTCCCATTAGAAGCAGCGGCTCTGGGCCCCGGGAGCCCGGGCCAGGGAGGAGCAGCAGTTGCGGCGTCCAGTGCAGAGGGAGTGCCCCAGAGTGTCTACAGCTGAGAGGCTAGAGCCGCGCCCATATGACTGCCGCCCCCCGTGGCCACCTGGCCCTGTGCACTCAGCCCAGAACGCAGGCCTCCTAGGGCAGGGGCGTCCAGCTGCACCCCAGGAGCCTCCTGAGAAGCTTTATTATCATTAATACATAATAAAGTTGGGTTAGAGGGGACTCAGAAGCCTGGGAGCAACAGAGCGTTAACACAGGGTCCTACTCAGGAGCTCCTTACTCCAAATCCTCTGTCACTGACATTTTGGTATAAAAATGCAGGCAGTTTGGATGTTATGAGTAGTATCTTTTGGTTTATTAAGTAGAGTCTATTTCTATGGTGTTTGGCAACAATAACAGCTACTTAATAACACTGAAGTCTCACCTCTCATTCTACATACTTTACTTTTTTCCAAGGTGTCATCAAATACTTTTATCTGGGAGCATTGTGTTTCAAGTGGGCCAAAGAGAACTTGAAATATTTCTTCCACGTTGGGGGATTTTTTTTTTTTAAACTTGTCCTTTGCTCCTTATATGTTATGCTGCCAAATGAATGATGCTGCCAATGACAGACTCTCTGAGGTAAATTCACTGGCCCCAGCAGGGACACCACCATTGATCTGGCCTTACTACAGTCCTTATTTATACGGGTAACTCAAATGAAAGGGTGGGCTGACATTAAGATGAAAGACTTGATGAGGTAATTTCTAGGAAAAACCCAGCATCACAAATGACAACAGGTGACCGCAGTCAGGCAGTGGAATTTTCTGCTACCTGAACACCAACACTGGGAACAAAATGACACAAATGTGGCTTAGAAGTCTCCTCTCCCTGGTGTGGGCAGGGTGACGGGCTCGGGTTGAGGCACCCACCTGCTTGTGGGACTGTCCCCTGTCCGTGGTCTGCAGCCGTAAGCTGTGGTCTCCTATCTGCACCCGGGAGTGTGGGGAGTGCTCCCCGACTGGAAAGCCACAGCCTCGGTCACTGTCGTCGTGGTCTGGGCCATCCGCCTGGTGACTCCCCTGGACTCCAAGCTCCCCGAGCCCAGAGAGGGTCTCTGGATGCTCACCCTGAAACAGGCAGGAGGTGACGATCACAGTTTCAGCCAAATCCTTTTGCTGTAGAGCCTGATTTTCATTGTTTGAGGATAATGATCCATGTTATGGATTATCAACGCCTATACTTCTCAGTCCTTCCCCCTAAAATGCTCATTTTGGCCATTTCACTCATGGGCACCTTCTGCATTTAAACAGCACAGGGTGGGTGCTCAGCTTATTAGAAGACATTAAGGAGAAATTTTAATTCTACTGTTTTTTAAATTAGTATTACTAATAGCTATGGTTTTGTAAGTTAAAGGAGGAGGAACTCCAGAGTACTAATCAACAGGAAACTTTAAAACGATTTCTAGGCTTTGCTTAATAATGGTTTTCTATGTCACGGATAGTTGGAAGCTGGCGGAGTTAGTTTTTGAAGACTTTCTTCACCCCGAGGAAAGAGAAGCACTGTATTTTCCCATTCCTAGGATGAGAACTTAGAATTACATACACTGTTCCCTAGAATGAAAACCAGACAAAAGGTCTTTGGGAGCTAAAAAGAAACCATCTATTCACAATGCCTCGAAGCAGCTGGCCAAGAAGCCAGGGTCGTGGATGTACAGAATACACAGAACACCAGTGGCTCCCGCCCCGGGTGCACCAGGAAGCAAGGCCAGGAAGGAGCCCGCAGTGCAATCAGTCACTCTGACTTAATCAATACAAAAGCAATCAGAAGGCAAAGATCTCTGTTCTGTTTCTATTATAAACCTAGGAATTGAGGCATAACAGGAAGAACATATACAAATTCCAGAGGTGGCAAAGTGAGTCATCTGAAGCTTAGAAAAGATCCTTTTAAAACTGTGTGGGCAGGACGGCTTTTCACATCTAGGAACAAAACTCAAATAGAAAGAAGAGCAAAAGTTTTAGAAACTAGCTTTTACAAACCAGCCAGGTTGAATGAGATGGTGCAGGACCTCAGGGTGATAACATCAATGAATTTATAAATGAGCAGCAAAGGAGACAGGAGCGAAACTTTGCTACAGCGTGGAGTTATGGACCAGGGCACTCTTAAAACTAGGTCAGAGCATAGCACGGAATTCTTAGTTTCATATATAACTGGACAAGCTGCTGCATTTCCATTTCTTGGATCAAAATTGACAAAACAATTTAAAATAATAATGACTTCACCACAACGCAAAATGTGGCAAAACTGCAATTGTATCCCATGAATATGTACAAGTAAAAAAAGAGAGAGTAGATACTGAGCAGGCAACCAACAGCACCTGCCTCTGCCAGTCCCTCACTCACGAACATCATGCAGGTTTCATAGGGAAGTCTGTGGTTTTCTTCATGTCGTTCCTGCACTATTCTCAGTAAGTTTATGCCTAGCACTGCATACCTGTTCTTGCTACTGTAATGTTACTTCTGTTATATTTGCTTGTGTATAGGAAAATGATGGATGTTTCAGTCACCTGTGTTCAATTTTCTCTTATCTAAGCGTCTGTATGAATTGCTCTAAATGTTTGTTGTAGCAATATTAGATGTTAATCAAATATTGAGAAATAAAATAATAGAACATGACTGTGTATAGGGTGCGTGGGGAGATAGCAGTGTCTGGGGTCAAGAACAAAACAGATGCAAATAAAAGGAACTCGACAGTGGAGTTACCTCAGTGAACTCCTCTCCTTCCTCCTCCATCTGCTTCCCTTGCCGCCAGTGTTTCAGCAGCCACCTGAGTTTGACGTAGAAGAGGAAAATGTTCTGCTTCAAGGACCGGAGCTCCTGCTGCATCAGATTCTTCTCATCACTCCAGGTTCGCTCATGGAGGCTGTTTTGCAAAGCCAGGCTGTGCATTTCCAGTTCTTTCCACCTCAAGGCATAGAGGTGCTCCTCCTCCATCTTGAACGGAACAAGAGACAGTGTGACAAGCGGCTAATCCAATCCGCCACCCAAACCAAACCAAGAGTCCCTGCAAACTGCCACTCAGTCTCTGTCATGCTGCATATAAGATATGAAACACAGGAGCCCCCAGAAGTTTAGTTTGATTAAGGGCTTCAGACGTTTCCTGTTGACAAAACCCCATGAATCTTGTGATTCAGAAACAAGTGCTATTTCAAAATAAGGTATTGTGACAATTTTTCATTGCCAAGTCTCTCATGGTGTTTTATCTGTCTCGGAAGTGCAGCTTACCACTGACTTAAATCCCATGTAAGCAGATTCCATTTCCCCTCTGTACATGGGCTGGGCACTCAAACGCACATTCAATTGTAAAGAAGAAAAGAAGTGGAAATCCTTCCCCTCTACTTCCTGAGCCCCCTGACTCCCCACAGCCCTGACAGAAGAGAACCCCAGCTGGTGGAGAGCACAGCAGGCTGGGTGGAAGGAATTCTTCCAAGTACACAGGCCTCGACTGCATACAACAGCGAGGAAACAGAAAAGTGGGTCTGAGAGCCTATTTCCATGCTTAAAGACTTGACATTCCTATTAGATGTGCATATCTCTTAGGAAAAGAAAAGTGTCACTGAAAAAGTATCTTGCATCTCCACATTAAATTCTCGTTTTTTAAACACCCCTGGTATAGACACTCTTCTAAGCAACAAACGATAATTGTGTATCAACACTGAAAAGCCAAAGAGTGAATAAAATACCGCTTTGCACAGAAGGGCACAAGAATAGGATCTATAAATAATATTTACAGTAGCTAAAGTGATACTATGGGATCAAAGCTTTGTGTTCTATAGACCAATAAAAGGTTCGAACGCCAGCCTGAAGGTTATCAGCTGTCCTCTCTTAACACTCCTTCTTATGCCAAAAAACAAGGAAGGGATTTGTTTTTCTCTTTAAAGTACTAGATTAATTCTCAGAGGCCATGGGAATAGAACCACAGCTGCCGGAGGCCAACGCGCTGAAGGCCAGTGAAGAGTCAGAGGCAGCTCTGCAAAGGTCCACAGGTCTAGACAACGACCTGGTGGCTGTTCTCCTAATACCTGACCTTTATTGTAGTTTTGGCCGAAATAACAGAAAATAGGTGATTTTATTCACCATCTCAGCAACCCTCAGCGTTCCACCACCGTTCTCCCCTGTGGACACAAGGGCAGCCTAGTGCACCAGACACCCAGCATCTGCAATTTCCTACTGGTAAGTCAACGTGGTATTTTTTTGGGTGGGGGAAGTGTATTTAACATTTCACACTGAAGATGTAACAGTCATGGGATCTTTTGCACCATCTGGTTTGAGTTAGGTACATGACAATAGAAGAGGCAGTTAATCTATAACAAAGATCAGTAATTAAAAAGAAGGGCGGTCTGGTCTCTGGTCTCTTGGTCATTCACAGAACAAGAACAATGAAGAAGAGAGTTCATCTATAATCTAAGAAACAAAACTGCAAACATGTTCATGACTCAGTCTCCAGGACTTAACTTTGCCCTTGACATAATCCATTTAGAAAGTCCTGTAGTTTTATTTTCTTTTACAAGTCTTAGCCAACTGACTCCTGCTAGGCAGGCTTCACTGGCCTCAGGGGCCATGTGAAGATAATGTGAGCCCCTTCCCCGCCTGGCTGTGGAGAGGCCCTGGGCCTGCCTGTGGAGAGGCGCTGAGACACTCGGACCCGCCTCCAGCACTGCGCCCAGGCCCTCCTGGAGAGCCTTCTTTTCTCTCCCTCACGTCTCCACTGCCCTTTCCAGCTCCTTCTGTTCCACGACTCCGTGAACTCCCCAAGTCTCAGAGCTCAGTCCTCTGCCCTCTGGGCACCTTGGGGGACACTTGCCCTTCCCTTCTGAACAAGCCTGAAGGACATCTCCTACCATTCGAAGGCTCTTCCGCAATACTCCTCCATCATCAACCCACGTACTAGAAACACGTGGGCCCCGGACATTGTGCTAGCAGCATCTTCAGTGATAAACTCACTTTTCAAACAATTTTTGGTGCCATGCAAAACTTTTTTTGTTTAATTACTTAGGAATCTATCTTTCAAGTAACATGGAATTATTTTCCTCTGATAATAAGATGTGCAATTTGACCCCTAAATGAAACACTTAAAAATTGAGTCATGCATGTAGTGGTAGAAGTTGGCAGAAAGTATTTAGATCTCGGCATTCGGCCCTGCCTTCCCTAAGCTGCAAGGTACAGAGAAGGCACTCACTCCTTTAATCAGTTTGTGACCCACTTAAATCACATGGCCTCAGTCAACATGGGGGCTTATGTGTAGCACACATTCCTTGCGAAAGTAAGTTCTTAGATACACCAGGACTTTATTTGCATAGGAGATTTATTTTAAAACACCAAGGTGCTCTATTCAAGATCAACTGCTTTGCTTGGTTTGGTTTTAAAGACACAACTATCTTTCAAGAACAAATACAGAGGGGAAGAGCAGCTGCAGCAATTCTGAACCTAGATCTCTGTCCACAACTTAATTAGGTTTGGGGTGGCAGGGATTGGGCCGTTCTCATGGATGTCCAGGGCGATGAGTGCCTACATCTGTGAATCCCTTCTACTGGGAACTCTGGGGAAGGATTTGCAGATAAAAGGTAATTAGCGAGAGTAACAGAGGTTAATCAGGCCACAGCTCAAGTTGCGGCAGTTTCCTGAAGGCAATGGCTTAGGGTGAGGTTGCTGATTTTTCTATCAGAAAATTCACCCAACATTAGCAGAGGTGACAGACACACTTTTCTGTCCAGTTGCATTTAGGCTCTTACTTGATGTTAGGCTGGTACTGCCGCAGGACAGTTTAGATTAGGTATGAGGAAGACCTTGCTGAGACCACAGTGGAGATGCTGAAAAGCATGTGCCAGAGCAGAAAGGTAGAGTTATCCTTAGGGACGTCTGAGAGGGGACAGCTCTACTGGGTGACCTTCCCATAGGTGCCCGGGAGTCTAGCAGCCTGTACGCAACAGACAGCCTTCTTTGAAAATGCATCGTGGCATTTCTCCTTTGGGGCTGTGCGGTTCACGGAGCGGTTGTGCTGAAAAATCCGTGTGAAATATTTACCTTATGGATCTTGTTTGTGAACGTCTCCGTCTCCTCTTGATACAGTCTGGCCGCCTGCACGAGCTGGCCCTGTAGCTCCTCTACGGACACACTCTGCTCAGGTAAAACACAGGGGCCCCTGAGCTGATCGGTGGGATAAAGGAAGGGGTTTAGTGGAAATGAGAGCTCTGCCTGAGGTGATGGCGCAGGACAGACATCTGCACAAGCCAGGGACACACACGGAGCGACACAGCATGTGTGGGCGCTGCAGCAGTGGAGTGACTGTGGCAGCTCCCCTGGGGTTTCCCGCTAGACCCCACCGCTCCCTGAGTTACCTGGGGAGGGACAGCTCCACCTGCCCTGCATCTCTGACCCAGGAGGGGGGTGGGCAGCTTCACCCGCCACCATAACCACAAACCGGACTGAGAGAAGGCGGCCAAAGTACACCAGAGGTGACCTTGCTCCCACAGTGGCTTCTGGACGCTGGGATGGTCACAGCTGACTATGACCGAGGCAAGCATGACCACCTATTACACATCAGCCTCTTGGATTCCCTCCCCAAGTCATGGGGTCTTTCTGAGTTGCATAATTAAGTTTTTCATATGCTTTCTTATTAGAGTTTTTCCTGCTCAGCCGAGGGTGTCTTTATCGAGGTGATCTGACCCCGATGCTCAGGGCAATAGGGTGGGGGTTCATCAATGAGCAGAGATGCATGGCTTCAGGCCTCCCAATCGCACATGTTGCCTAAGGAGAATCGCACAAAGATGTACTTACTACATTTAAAGACAGGTGGTGGAATCCGTATCATGACTTTTATTGGTAAAGTCTACCTTTTATGTTCTAATGCCATGATAGAGGAGTCAGTGTCACTACTTTTGAAATAAAATGTGTTTAGAGATGGAAACACTGTTATGCTAAAAATCTCAGGCATCATCAAAATCTAAGCATGATAGTTTACCCACTGGATTATGCTACTTGAAAACAGGTGATTTATAAAACTGGGAATTCGAGTAGATTGTTGCAATAAAATATGTGCTGTTTCACTGGTTCATTCTGAGTCCCTTTAACTCATCTACTACTTTTCCCTGAGGATACTGTTTGCTCCTCCTAATCTGATGGTACCTGGGTAGTCAAGAGTGAAGATCACACCCTAAGAACAGAAAATGCAAAAAATAAAAGAGCAGAGCACTTTCCTTAGCACTGGGGATACGAGAAAGGGGTATTAAGGAAAGAAGAACGGAGACAGAAAATCAGACACTGGGGATTCACCAAGTTTGGCATAAAATTTTGAAAACTAGAGATTTAAACATCCTATTTTCAGAAAACTCAGTAATTTCTGAGAGCATTAAATGCTTCTTTGATTTGCTAGTTGTTCGAGACTATTATAGTCTTTTATACATATGAAGCATTATTTGGGGTTCTCTGAAAAGATGCATTTCCCTACGTGTTGAATTGACCTCAATGACTAATTTTTCATTTCTAAAAGTTCTATTACTTAAAAAATATATGTGGTCTTTTATGATGGTGGCATACTGTTGTCCTGTTTGGTTGCCTTTAATAACTGTGAACGCACTTATCTGATAGCGTCCATCTGAAAATTCTATTATCTGCAGTCTTAGGGCTGAATCCCATTTGCCGAGTCTGCCAACTCGTGTTCCTGCTGGACATTACTGGCTTGTGTGACTTCATCTCCTAGGGGCACTTACCTATGGATCTGGTATGCATCTGGGTGGAGGATGTGCCTCCAGATTGGTTTCCTGTTTGCTGGAGCTCGCAATATTACACAAATCCCTTTCTCTGGGGATTCCCGGACCAAACTGGTAACATCAATTCGAAGCCTGACCCTGGGTGAGGCAAGCTCTAGCCCTCCCACTCCTGATGCAGAGCTCTTGCTGGGGAAACAAGTATCCGCACTGCCTCCTCGCTCCTTG